GGGATCTTTTAGCTGTGCGATTACAGAAAAGTGATATACTGAAACGTTTAATAGTTTTAGCGGGATTATACTATGAGACGTGTAGTAATAGTGACAATATTTACTTAACAATTAAATATTTTAAGCTATAGATTAGTATGGATAGTTTTACGATGACACATTAGGGTGTGTATAGGATTTTTGAATGCATCAAATTACAGCTTTGTTACTGACATCGACTGGTTTTTTTTATAAAAAGGCCAACGGTAGTGGATGGATTGGTCCAGTTTTGAAAAGATTTAAAATCTAGGATAGAACAGGAAACCTACGGTTGCGATTACTAGGCAAGCACTATTACCAATGACTATTAATCTTACATTTACTGATATATACACTGGCTATTACTCCAATCAGCTACTCATCTGTTTTAAAGCAGTCACATTGCCTACGTAACTATTGCCATGTAGTGTGAAATAAATTAGCTAAACTTAATGACACACTTATGGGAAGTAATGGTGCTACTAGCATTGTTGAATATATTGTCAAGGGATTTTCGTCACTAACTAAACTATACTGCACTGTGCATTTGCCAATACAAAACTTGTCTCTACAATTTCATTTTATATTCCACTTAATTTCATTTCATTTCGTCTTGGTCCTTTTGAAGGAGTTTTAACAAATTCTATTTATTTATGTCACTTTAAATACATTTCATTGACTCAATAAGATATATTTGGACGCCAGTATAATGACTTGACTGTTAGACTAGGCAATTCTCACTCCAAGAGTATCTAATTTGAATGTACAAATATTCAGGAAGATTATTTTAATATTTTTATGTTGGCTTCCAATCTTAATTAAAGTAAACGCCACTCCTTGAATTTTTATATCAACTCATTAGAAATGCAAAAGATACACATCCACTAACTTCCCAGATATAACTACACCCTAATGATAACAAGCCCTTAATGTATAAACATGTTGATTTTGTGTGTCAAATCCCCCAAAAATCCTAAGATTTGCCGTTGCAATGATTATTCTTTTGTTGTATTTAACCTATCTTTATATATGTTAATAGTTTGTTCAAGTTTTGCTTAAAATATCTCAATGGATGACTATCAATATATGTAGTAACAAGTCAGGTAGTAAAACTCATAGCTGTCATTATCTACTTCATATTAATATACAGTATATCTTGTAATTATTTATTTTTGGAATTGGAGTATGTTGATGGAAGACATCCATCCCAAAAAAACACATTTATCCCAAAGTACCCATGAACTTTTGAGAAAACTACAAGTCACACCCGCATAAACCATGTACTTAAAATGCTGGTCATGACGAGAAACCTTGCGCAAAACTATCCGTTATTTCATAAATTGCCCTTGTCGTAATTCCTCTCGTAAAGGGAAACTTTCCATATACCTAATGTCAAAAATACTTCAGCTATTCTTATTTGTTTGGTATTCTTTCAATTTGTTATCTTTATTTGTTTGTATTACTGTATTCTGTTTTGTTTATTTCAGCTTAGCTTAACCAATCAATAATTGTATTAATACGTATGAAGTCAAACGGGGGGAAGTCCGTTGGTAACAGCCAAATGTAATAATTTGTTTTGTTTTTAACATTTTCTTTATGCATACTAAATAAAAGAATATAAATTTTATATGCAGCATGATAAGTGTAACGAAATAAATAAATAAAGGAGGTACATTTTATTTATCGGCAAAGTTTAGGGTAGGGGGAGTTGTAGCTTCGTTTATTAATCCTTTTTGTTTCTTCTTAGTGCTACCAAATAGTATATTTCGTACCTAGGGCCGAAAATGAGGTTTTGCCGGCTCGAGATAGTTTTTAAGTTCGAGACGAAGTCGAGAACTTAAATCGATCGAGAGCCGCAAAACCATTTCGGTCCGTGGTACGAACGCTATTTTTCACCACACTATACCCTATTACCACTATTCACCACAATAATAATGCACACTGATAGTCAACACAACTACAACTTTAAGGTTATGTGAAGAAATAATTTGAGGAATCAGCAAAAATAAAAATATATAGTTGCTAGGCAACGGTGACAATAACACAATTCTATTGAAATGCTATGGATTTTGATTATGTATTTAAAATGCATTCATGTTTTAAGTAAGTAAGCGGACAGCTGATTTTGCGGCCCCGGCCTGTAAAAACCTGCTCGGTCCCCAAATTATGGACAGCTGGCATCGCCAGCAAAACCTAACTTTCGGCCACCAATTAACGTATGTAATACAGCCAAAAACATGATAGTGTGGTGAAAAGGCTTTTTCAGTATAAAAAATAAATAAACTATTGACACACTTTTTTACTTCCCTAAAAATTATGTATTTTTGATTTTACAAAACCATCTGATAAAAGAGTGATAAACACATTATTTCATTGTGTTGTTATTATTCCTCATGGCTAAGCCAAAATATAGAATTTGTTATGGTAAAATGTAGGTGTGGTAATAGTTGATTTATTATTCATACGGTTACAAACTATGAAATTGTGGTATTTTAAAATACGACCAATACTATATTTTACCATAAAACTCTGGGAAATGAAAAAGACAAGGTAAACAGTTAACTCTTACTTTAATTTTTATAAAATCAATACAAAACGAAAACTAAAGCTATACATTCGCCATCATCACAGCAATGGACGGATAGTTTCATATACATTGGGCCTTAACTAGGTTAGAATGTAGAGGGTAAATGCAATTCGAACAACAAACATACATTATCACAAACAAGCAAAATAGCTATATAAATTAAATTTCATTAATCAAACTTTATGAAATCTTTTCGATTAGGCTTTAGGGTTGCACATAACAGTTTATTGGTTATTGAACCAAACACCAAACCAATAAATAAACAAATGTAGCAGAAATTAAATGCCAACGTGCTAATTTTTCCTAATATAAGATAAGAATGTAATTAAGTGTAGACATATAAACACTGATGCCCTCAGGAAATCGACATAAACTATACATAAATGTATATAAACAAAAAATTTATAAAAGTTAATTAAAAAAATTCTAGAAAATAATACAAGTGTTTTTAACAAATAGAGATTCCATATACACTTTCCATTACTGTATTAAATAGAATATTATAAACATTTCTTTCAACATATAACAAAAATTACTAAATTAGTAAATTAAAAACACATTATTGCACAGTTCAAACTAATCTATGGTGTACAAATAGTTTTGCCACTGAATGCATATTTTGTGTGAATAATATTGAATTCTCTGTTGAATATATGTAGTATTCATTGAACTATTGTAATTTAATAAACTGATGAATTGTGTGCTTAATTTTTTTTGTTTACGGTATAAATTTATTAGTAGATGTTTGCTTTTGCAAAAAAATTACAATTGGAAGGTTTTAGTGATAAAGAAATAAATAAACCCAATAGAAAGTTACTTATGTTATAATTATCCAAACGTGAATGATATGTTTGATTTTTAACCAGAACATTTTGTATCATATTGTTTGCAAATCTAAAACACTAAGTAAACTGTTACAATCACAGAATAATGTTGCATCCCTATGAACCTGCATATTTTTAGACGTTTTCCGTATATTCTTATTATAAACTATAATAAATTGGAATTTATTTTCGTTGCTAATTTATTCTGCAACTTCACAATAATTGAAAAATGATCAACTCGATACTGTAGTTCAAACTATTTATTTATTACGTTAATTTAAAACTAAATTATTGAAAACATTTTCCCCGTTAATCCTTACATTAAAAATTGTTTCTGCCGTTTTAACGCACCTTGATAACCAGTGGCTTGACAAGCACTCATGTTGGTCACGGTAGCGCCAAAATCGCTTGACCGACCAAGCCAAATTCAGCCTTATCATTAACACGCAGCTGGTACTCTGAAATCGTTCAATGAACGTATAATTTGGCGTATTTTATGCCTCGTAATCGTGGTTATGTCTTCATTACGATGGTACGAGAGAAGATCGGCAAAACGACGTTTCAATCTGCGTTTTTATGACGGAAAAACGTCATCATTATAGTTTTTATGACACGGAGACAACTTTACGGTGCGTTCATTAACTTTTATTTACCAGTGTATAATTATCGTGTGCAGGAATCTTATTATTTCTAAGTGATTACTTAGCATAAACGCCCATAAAAAAGCTTTCAAACGGTAGATATACGGGGTTACATGGAGACGGGCTTTCTAATGCGATGTGAGTAACGGTGACCGAATCTTTGAATCATCGGATTTGGCTTGTTCGTGTTTAAAAACTATACAAACTTAGAATATTAAAAACAGAATGGTTCCCGCACGTTATAACATTTAAGTTCAATTACAAATGCAACTTCACAAGAATTGTAAACGTAATCTTTGACATTCAATTGTTATATAATTACTTTTTAGATTTTTAAACACCTTTTCACTAGCTTCTTGAAATCACGAACCCTAGTATCGTATAGCCACAAAAATATGCATTCGCCAACACCTATACTACTTACAGTGACGCTTACCGGGACGGATATCAAATAGATTAACACTTAACAATAAATAGCTTTACAAACTTAGTTTTATACAAGTCCATCTAACTTTTTGGTGGTTCTGGGCTTCGATACGCCCAGCATACCGCTTATGTACAGTGTGTCTGCGAGTGTAACTGAATAATAAATATCATATTAAGGATGATAATTTATATAAGGATTTTTTAAATTTGTATCTAAACTTACACCAACAAAAACTCATCATGCCTTGGACTTCAAAACAAACACTATCCTGCATTTGTTACTACAAAGTAAGTTTAAAGGGTGTATAAGCCCAGAAGTTGAAGTTCTGGACCAACCGAAACTCTAGACATAGTTCAATAGTAAGCAGTAAAATAGTTTAAGAATTTTAACAAAAACTTTCATTTTTAAATTAACAATTTGTTTAAGAGACTTGAAAGTTCCTATGTAAAGAATACGAAAGTTATATACACTCCTGATTTTTAAAGCAAGAATTGTTGGTTGTTTGCTAGATTTTGTATAACAGTTAAATCACTCTTCGTAATGATTTTAGAACTTTTGGGGGTTGAGGATTTGATAAGGGAGTATGTTAAATCTATGAGTTGATGTTTAAATTTTAACCGAACTAGCCTTGGTAAGTTTACTCTCGATCTGCACCATCCAGTTTTTTCGTGATATGTAATTTTTAAAGTTTCTATTGCGGTTTCTGGATTGTGATATTTTCATCAGACACATTGCACAAGCACCAGTGGTCGCCGACTACACGGATTAACTAACTTCTCCGTTCTTCCTCAGCATCTCCAGCCGCAGCTCGTGTTCCCTCGCCTTGAGCCGGAGGGCGGCGATGCTGGATGACCTCCTGTCTATGTCCGGAGGGGAGGATGGTGCCGGAGGGGTCGTGGCCAGGGTGGGGGGCAGAGCCACCGCTGGAGGTAGCTCCTCAGGCTCCGGAGGGCTGGCGGAGGGTAGCGGCAGCTTGGGTCTCTGGGCTGCCGAGATGTTGGCCAACAGACTCTGCAATCAGGGAAACTGTTTTTTTATTCCTTGTTATCTAATGTATATTTCTAATGTATATTTGTAGTGGTCTCTCCGACACTACGACGACATGGCTCCGACAACATGTGTCCAAGTAGCGTCTTGTAGTGGTCTCTCCGACACTACGACGGCATAGCTCCGACAACATGTGCCTAAAGTAGCGTCTTGTAGTGGTCTCTCCGACACTACGACGGCATAGCACCGACAGCATGTGTCCAAGTAGCGTCTTGTAGTGGTCTCTCCGACACTACGACGGCATAGTGTATATTTACGTAGTCTTCGTGGTAAGACGACGTATCCGGTAAATCAGTACAATGAAATTCATAGTCTGTAGGTACTATGAAAAAAAAACTGTTGTTTGCGAAGCAAATATATGTGGTAACATCCTTTGAATCTGATTATTAAAACGTAAATTTACTTGTAGGGGTATAATTAAATGGATGGCAATCCGGCCTGATACAAACATGATAAGGGGATTTTCTTCTTGTTTTAGAGGGATGTATTTAACCCACAAATTGGTTTTTTGAGTCTTAAAACTAATTAAAAGATGTTTACCACTATTATACGTTTCATCCAATGGAAACCCCATGTACATTTGGTATGTTTCTTGTGTGGAGGTACAAAACGGAGTCTTCTAACAAGAGGGATTCTCAAGATCTAACACATGTTCCTTAAGCTGCCATTTGACAACCACACTTCTCTGAAACAGAGCCAGTACCAACCTGGAACGACGTGGCCGGGGAGTACGCCGCTAGGTGCCCAAGGAAGGGCGGAGGCCGGGGGAACTGCGGATGATGTCCTAGGAACACCGGCCCAGGCGGCAACGTCGGGTACCGGAAGGCATCGAAGGGTTTCCTCAGGCCGAACCCCAGGTGGGTGAAGGGGTTGGGCAGCGAGGGTGCGATGGCTGGCGCCGGGGCGGACCCTAGGTAGGGGTTGTAGGGATGACCTTGTGGTCCGACCTTCTCTTGCTTCCTCCACTTCGCTCTCCTGTTCTGGAACCATACCTGGAACAAGAAAGTTTTGTTAGGTACAAATAGGGAAGACTCCTTTTTCAGACAAAACTCTTTCCAATAATAGTTAACGAATAATTAAATTAGTAGAATTGTTTCGTCGACATTGCACCCTGCAACATTTAATCTAATAATCAAATAACTCATCTGGTAATAGGATTATATGTACAAAAACCCGGCGGAGTTCAAAGCACTGAAAAGTGTAGATTGTATGTAAGTGCTCGTTAAGAAATCTGTATGTTAAACTCAGCCAGCACTCAATGGTGCACTGATGCTCGATTCTGTACTCCAACAATTAACTTAGTTCAACAATAGCAGAGACAAAGATAAACTCAATTGTGAGCCATTCAGAATTTAAAATCTTTTACATTCTGTTTAATTTATCTTTCATGGTTTTTTCTTTGATGCAATATATCACAGCTACAGACTTGTGAAGAAAGGTTACCTAAGTGTCGTTAAATGGTAATTCTTTTTTCGATTGTAATTTGTATCAATAGGTACCATATTTGATACGAGGTAATTGTCTACAACACTCAACCACTTTAAAATGTGTCAACACTAAACATTGCAATCACGAAGGGTACAATCTACAATATTTATTTGACCTACATAATTCACAGTTGAAACCCAATCAATATCTCTGTTAACGGTCCCCGTCACTGTGTCGTGTTAATGTTATTGTACAACACGGTGTTATTGTTATTGTTCTCGGACCCCACCCGGCGCGGTAACAGGTACATTTGCAGCCTTGTGTTTTTCTATTAAGAGTCCAGTCATTAATACGACTCAGCGGGAACCCTGGGTCGAGATGATTGAGCCGACCTACCAGTCACGATACCAGCGGCCTTGTAGTGATCTCTCCGACACTACGACGGCATAGCACCGACAACATGTCTAGAGTAGCGTCTTGTAGTGGTCTCTCCGACACTACGACGGCATAGCTCCGACAGCATGTGTCCAAGTAGCGTCTTGTAGTGGTCTCTCCGACACTACGACGGCATGGCTCCGACAGCATGTGTCTAGAGTAGCGTCTTGTAGTGGTCTCTCCGACACTACGACGGCATAGCACCGACAGCATGTGTCCAAGTAGCGTCTTGTAGTGGTCTCTCCGACACTACGACGGCATGGCTCCGACAGCATGTGTCTAGAGTAGCGTCTTGTAGTGGTCTCTCCGACACTACGACGGCATGGCTCCGACAGCATGTGTCCAAGTAGCGTCTTGTAGTGGTCTCTCCGACACTACGACGGCCTAGCACCGACAGCATGTGTCCAAGTAGCGTCTTGTAGTGGTCTCTCCGACACTACGACGGCATAGCTCCGACAACATGTGTCTAGAGTAGCGTCTTGTAGTGGTCTCTCCGACACTACGACGGCATAGCACCGACAGCATGTGTCCAAGTAGCGTCTTGTAGTGGTCTCTCCGACACTACGACGGCATGGCTCCGACAACATGTGTCTAGAGTAGCGTCTTGTAGTGGTCTCTCCGACACTACGACGGCATAGCTCCGACAACATGTGTCTAGAGTAGCGTCTTGTAGTGGTCTCTCCGACACTACGACGGCATGGCTCCGACAGCATGTGTCTAGAGTAGCGTCTTGTAGTGGTCTCTCCGACACTACGACGGCATAGCACCGACAGCATGTGTCCAAGTAGCGTCTTGTAGTGGTCTCTCCGACACTACGACGGCATGGCTCCGACAGCATGTGTCTAGAGTAGCGTCTTGTAGTGGTCTCTCCGACACTACGACGGCATGGCTCCGACAGCATGTGTCCAAGTAGCGTCTTGTAGTGGTCTCTCCGACACTACGACGGCCTAGCACCGACAGCATGTGTCCAAGTAGCGTCTTGTAGTGGTCTCTCCGACACTACGACGGCATAGCTCCGACAACATGTGTCTAGAGTAGCGTCTTGTAGTGGTCTCTCCGACACTACGACGGCATAGCACCGACAGCATGTGTCCAAGTAGCGTCTTGTAGTGGTCTCTCCGACACTACGACGGCATGGCTCCGACAACATGTGTCTAGAGTAGCGTCTTGTAGTGGTCTCTCCGACACTACGACGGCATAGCTCCGACAACATGTGCCTAAAGTAGCGTCTTGTAGTGGTCTCTCCGACACTACGACGACATGGCTCCGACAACATGTGTCCAAGTAGCGTCTTGTAGTGGTCTCTCCGACACTACGACGGCATAGCTCCGACAACATGTGCCTAAAGTAGCGTCTTGTAGTGGTCTCTCCGACACTACGACGGCATAGCACCGACAGCATGTGTCCAAGTAGCGTCTTGTAGTGGTCTCTCCGACACTACGACGGCATAGCTCCAACAACATGTGCCTAAAGTAGCGTCTTGTAGTGGTCTCTCCGACACTACGACGACATGGCTCCGACAACATGTGTCTAGAGTAGCGTCTTGTAGTGGTCTCTCCGACACTACGACGACATGGCTCCGACAGCATGTGTCTAGAGTAGCGTCTTGTAGTGGTCTCTCCGACACTACGACGGCATAGCACCGACAGCATGTGTCCAAGTAGCGTCTTGTAGTGGTCTCTCCGACACTGCGACGGCATAGCTCCGACAACATGTGTCTAAAGTAGCGTCTTGTAGTGGTCTCTCCGACACTACGACGGCATAGCTCCGATAACATGTCTAGAGTAGCGTCTTGTAGTGGACAAATTAGAAATCCACATTTTGACACAGCATTGGCATGGCTCCGACAACATGTGTCCAAGTAGTGCCGTTCGGTGGACGAATGATAAATCCACATTTTAACTATGCATTGGCATAGCTCCGACAACATGGGTCTAGGTAGCACCGTTCGGTGGACAAATTAGAAATCCACACTTTAACTATGCATTGGCATAGCTCCGACAACATGGGTCTAGGTAGCACCGTTCGGTGGACAAATTAGAAATCCACACTTTGACTATGCATTGGCATAGCTCCGACAACATGTGTCCAAGTAGTGCCGTTCGGTGGACAAATGATAAATCCACACTTTAACTATGCATTGGCATAAGTCCCACAACATGTGTCCAAGTAGCGCCATTCGGTGGACAAATGATAAATCCACGCTTTGACACAACATTGGCATAGCTCCGACAACATGGGTCTAGGTAGCACCGTTCGGTGGACAAATTAGAAATCCACACTTTAACTATGCATTGGCATAGCTCCGACAACATGGGTCTAGGTAGCACCGTTCGGTGGACAAATTAGAAATCCACACTTTAACTATGCATTGGCATAGCTCCGACAACATGGGTCTAGGTTGCACCGTTCGGTGGACAAATTAGAAATCCACACTTTGACTATGCATTGGCATAGCTCCGACAACATGTGTCCAAGTAGTACCGTTCGGTGGACAAATTAGAAATCCACACTTTAACTATGCATTGGCATAGCTCCGACAACATGGGTCTAGGTAGCACCGTTCGGTGGACAAATTAGAAATCCACACTTTGACTATGCATTGGCAAAGCTCCGACAACATGGGTCTAGGTAGCGCCGTTCGGTGGACAAATTAGAAATCCACACTTTAACTATGCATTGGCATAGCTCCGACAACATGGGTCTAGGTAGCGCCGTTCGGTGGACAAATTAGAAATCCACACTTTGACTATGCATTGGCATAGCTCCGACAACATGTGTCCAAGTAGTACCGTTCGGTGGACAAATGATAAATCCACACTTTAACTATGCATTGGCATAAGTCCCACAACATGTGTCCAAGTAGCGCCATTCGGTGGACAAATGATAAATCCACGCTTTGACACAACATTGGCATAGCTCCGACAATATATTGTGTCTACTAGTATGTAGCGGGTAGTGCTGTTCACAGTTCAGCGTTCAATGTTCACCGTTCTGTTTACCGTTCACTGTTTACCGTTCACTGTTCACCGTTCACCGTTCACGGTTCATAGTTCTGTTTACCGTTCACTGTTCACCGTCACTGTTCACCGTTCACCGTTCAATGTTCACCGTTCACCGTCACTGTTCACCGTTCACCGTTCAATGTTCACCGTTCTGTTTACCGTTCACTGTTCACCGTCACTGTTCACCGTTCACCGTTCACGGTTCACCGTTCTGTTCACCGTTCACTGTTCACCGTTCACCGTTCACCGTTCAATGTTCACTGTTCACCGTCACTGTTCACCGTTCACCGTTCAATGTTCACCGTTCTGTTTACCGTTCACTGTTCACCGTCACTGTTCACCGTTCACGGTTCACCGTTCATTGTTCACTGTTCACCGTAGTAAATCGTGTGGGTGTTTCACTCACATTTAAACTTTTATTGCCAATGAAAATTGCACATAAATTGCATCCGTTTATGTATTGTAGCTCGCTGCAAGGAACGGTCGTACATCAAGTTTACTGCTTCGTGGGTAGTTGTTTATTGAATATGTTATCAAACATGCTTAAAACGGGTGAAATGACAACTGCGCCCAGAACTAACATTGAGTGTCCTTGACGATTAAATATTGCACTTAAGCTATGAAACATACGTAAGTTTCCCTCTGTAATGGGCTGCAACTTATTTTTATCTTCAACTACAAGTACTTTTATGTATTACGAAAAGTGCACTCTAACGTCGGTACAAGTTTTATAGGAAATGAATACGCACAACTAGTCAGGTATTCATCGTTTGCAGACCATGCGATTCTCCAGGAAAGCTGACAGAGACAGAGCAGAATTCGTCGACTACATAGTCGATAGCACTTCACACTCACATAGGTAACATCTTACAAACTTGAACTCAAGCACCAAGGATGATGGCACTAAAAGGATATCGGGCGTTTAGAATAACCACGATAACCCCTTATTCAACAAATTTCGAACATGCTAAATTGTCCATAACATAAGAAACAATATTTTTTAACCAAGCATTACTTTAAGGTATATCGGTAACTATTTAGTGAGATTATATAAAAAAATATAGGTATTCACCTGTTAAAACCCCACCTGTTAAAAGTCTTTAATCTTCATTGAACTAACCTCA